GCCGTTGTCCCCCCCCCTCCCCCCCGCCGTTGTCCTAATGGTATGGTTGCAGCGGTATTATTTGAGATGTCGTGGTTTGAGCGGGAGTTGTGGGAGGGGACTTCGATTCTGAAGAACAGGGTGTGCGTGGATCTAAATGTGTTTGGAGAGTATGTGGAGAGTCGGCGGTTGGCGGTGCATGTAGCTCGTTGGCGTGCTGCGAACGGCGAGTCAACGATGGTGCCGCCGTTGCCGGGTTCTAGCTGTTTCAACTCGGCGGCGGAGTTTTTGGAGTTGTTCTTCCTGCGACTGGAGTCATTGCTGGAGTCTACGTTGCGTCGTGGAGCTGCTCGGTTTCTGGAGCGTGTACAGGCGGTGTTGGGTCCTGCGGCGCGGGAAGCGTCGGGTTTCAGTGAGGAGCAGGTGTCCGGATGGTTACCCCGAGTGGCTCGGTTGGAGACGTTGGTGGGTGCTGCAGAGACGCTGTACTTGGCGCCACGACGGCCGAAGGTTGGACGAAGTGTGCGCGAGTTGCGTGCGGAAGACGTGGGTCGTTGCTTGAGCGTGCGAGGGGTCGTTACGCGCATTACGGAGGTGAAGCCGGAGGTACGCGAGGGTGTGTTTACATGTGAAACATGTCATGCAGAGATTGCAGGTGTGCGCCAGGAATATCGTTTCACAGAGCCGGCACAATGCACACGAACTGGCTGTCACAACAAGAGCAAGTGGCGGTTCGTGAAAGAGAAGAGCCGCTTCGAGGACTGGCAGCGTCTCAAGGTGCAGGAGGGCGGGGCGGAACAGACGCCTGCAGGGACCGTTCCGCGCAGCGTAGACGTCGTCGTGCGAGGCCCCGTCTGTGACCGTTGCAAACCCGGCGACTTCATCGAGGTTGTGGGATGTGTCGTTGCCGTGCCGGATGTCGGCTCGTTGCTGAGTGCCAAGGAACAACCCGCTGAAATCCGCAGGGAAAAGGCGCGCGCGCTTAACTCCGAAAATCAGGAACCTGGCATAACCGGACTGGCCAAACTTGGCGTCAAAGACGTCTCGTATAAATTACACCTGATTGGCGCAGACGTGCAGCTCGCACAAGGCGCACCGGAACAAGACCAACTGGCACGGGATCTCGCCACACAGGCCTCACACGTGATCCTCGAACTATTCTCTCTTCCAGGAGCGGCGGCGGTCCCAGGAGAGGCAGTAGGAGTCGGGCCGGGGGATCGTCGGTTGCAAGAGTTGTTGGAGTCTCCGTTGGCTCGTTTGTTCGGGATTACAGCCGAGCAGCACCGCCGCTTCAAGGCGTTGGCGGGACACTTCGACTACCTGGACCGATTGTCACGGCACGTGGCGCCAGAGTTGTGGGGGCTGACCGAGGTGAAGAAGGGGGTGTTGTGCATGTTGGCGGGTGGCTTGGAGAAGCGGTCGCCGCAGGACGGGACCAAGTTCCGGGGTGACATAAATGTGTTGGTGGTCGGTGACCCAGGTACGGCGAAGAGTCGATTGCTGAAGTTTGTTCAGAGCGTGGCAGACCGTGCGGTGTATGCGAGCGGCAAGTCGAGCACGGCGGCGGGACTGACGGCGAGTGTGCACAAAGACCCGGAGGTGGGTGAGTCGGTGGTGGAGGCAGGAGCGTTGATATTGGCGGATACGGGAGTATGTTGTATCGACGAGTTTGACCAGATGGACGTGAAGGACATGGTGGCAATCCACGAGGCAATGGAGCAGCAGACGATCAGCATCAGCAAGGCAGGGATTCAAGCAACCATGAACGCACGTGCGAGTGTATTGGCAGCTTGTGCACCCGTCGAGGGCCGCTACAAAGTGGGAGCGACGCTACAGGCAAATGTCGGACTGGCACCGACGATCCTGAGCCGTTTCGACCTCCTCTTCGTCGTGACCGAAGACGTTGCGGAGGACACCCATTTGCGTCTGGCTGCCCATCGTCTACGTCGTCGACAGGGCGAACAGGCTGCCACAGATGGTGACGACTTGATGGGTTTCAAAGAGCTACAGACTTATCTGCGAGTCGCACGACACTTCCGACCGCGACTCACGCAGGAGGCCCGGCAAATCATTATCAGACAATACGTTAACGAGCGCCAGCGAGCGAAGAACGTAAGGGAACGGAATCGTTCTGACAGTCGAGCTACGACCCGTATGCTCGAGTCTGTGCTCCGTGTCAGCGAAGCAGTCGCTAAGCTCGGTTTTAGTCACACAGTCGAGGCCTTCCACGCGAACCTTGCGATTAAACTCATGAACGCGCAACGTAAACGCCGAGTCGACCCCGTGGACCTTGACGAACCTGTCACTGATGACGAAGGCAACGACCAACCCCTCCGCTTTCAGGTCAACCCCGACGAATTCGACCTTATGCAAACTATTTTCGTGAGCCGTCTCCGCGAACAGGAACGTCAACGCGAGCTCGGAGGGACGCAGTGCGACGCAGGGACTGGCGTAACGGAGCAAGCAGCCCAGACCGCATTGATACAGAGCCACAGTCGCAATGCCTTGATTGACTGGTTCGTGCAGACTAAGGCTGGTGGCGCCGAAAGCAAAAAACTACTTGTTAAGAAAGTGATTGCGAGAATGATCAACCTCGGTGTACTATTCGAAGAAGAACCACAACCCGGCATGCGCATCCTCCGTGTACATCCCAACTTCGACGGAGTCGCCTCCATCTCCAGAACCAATAAGAAGACGCCCAGTGCACACCTCTCAGTCAGCACTGAAAAAATCGACGTCTCATCTCTCGCCCAAGACTCGTCCGTCTCAGCCACGAACCAAATGGTCGAGGAAACGTTTATCCAGTCCCTGTACAGCCAAGCCTTCTAGCTTACGCAAAGTCAAGAAGCCTCACATGGTGTCACTCGCGACTCCAGCACGCTTGCACTCGCTCAAACACACGCCCGCTTATGTTAGCTAGTAGTTTCCCGTGTGTGCCAAACCCCTACACGACAGTTGCATCAGACAGTCATGCCCTCTGACATGCGCAGTATCTGCCGCCAGCGTGTTTGACGACATAGTTTAGTCGTTTAAAAAGAATTGAAAATTTCGAACGCTCTTCTTTGACAAGTCATCATTGATGCATGGAACATTAGAACATTCGTTGATACATGGATCGTGTCTTCGCCTCCTGTTGTTTCCGTTTATTATTGGTGATTGTTATTTGTTTTTTGACGTCCATATTTTCGGGGTCGATTTGTAGCGCTTGTTTAAGATCATTGATGGCGAGTTCAAATTCTTGGATGCCAGTGCGTGCGATGGCACGGCGATAGAGAGCCTTGACATTTGTTGGGTCATCTCTGAGAACTGCGGCACAGGCGATTGTTGCTTCGATCCAGTTTTCAAGTTTGATATGGACCAAGGCAACATTGAGGTTTGTTGAGATGGCGAGTTTCCTTGCTTCGGGTTGTTTGTCTTCAGGCCAATTCTCGAGATTTTCAAGCAATCCGGCCGCCTCCAAATACCGTCTGACGGCATCGCCAAGCTTCCCGTCTTTAAACAAGGCAGTTCCTTCCTCCTTCAGTTCTCCGGCAGCCGTCAACTTCTCATCCATTGACATGGCCTCAGGAACCTTACGGGTACTAAATTCCAACAACTCAATTTCAAACACCAGAACAGCATTAGGTGGAATCGTAGGTGGACTACCGTGCTCTCCATATGCAAAATCAGGCTGCAATTCCACACGACACTTCTCACCCTTCTTCATACTCATCACGCATACATCCCAACCTTTTATCACTTGTCCTTGACCCAAAGCAAACTCAAATGGTGTGCCACGGTCAATACTAGAGTCAAACTTCTTACCATCCGTAAGCGTACCCGTGTAATGCACTTTCACTTGACAACCTACAGCAGGCCTACAACACCAGAATTTGGGAATTCCCACACAAGACTGACCAAGACCCGTGTGCATAGATAGATACCAAGCACTTATGTTTCACCAAGCACTTATGTTTCACCAAGCACTTATGTTTCACCAACCACTTATGCTTCACCAAGCACTTATGTTTCACCAAGCACTTATGTTTCACCAAGCACTTACGTTTCACCAGAACCCTCCAAAAGGATTGTCTTCACCACCTTCCCATTACCGAGCAGATCCACAACATTGTTCTCCATTTTTTTCTTCAGCCCAAAAATTAATGATTCCAAACAGAGAGCTAACTGAAATCGATCCGTCGCCATTCACCACATAATCATCATCTATCTGAACATAAGGCTCATATTCCCCATCCCCATCCTCCTCCTCGGCTGTAGTCACCGATTCCAAGCTCTGGCGCTTGTTGCTCCGACGATTTTTAGTCATTCGGGTCCCAGACAAATTCTTTGGTCCAACACTTGGTTGAATTGGCGTGCAACCGGTCGATGACCTGCTCACAGAACCCGATGGCAGCTCGACGTCAGGATTCCATGTATGCGATTGTGCTTTTCTGTGGAACTCCTGGAGTGCGACGTTGGGATGTAATTGGAAGTATGAATCTGGAACCGCTCCACATTCTGGCTGCCCAGCCCACGAATGCTGAACGTTGCTGAAAAACTGAATTATCTTCGGGTCCCCATTCAACGTTTCGAAACAGAAGCGTCTGGGTAAAAATTCGACGCTCATCGCACGCGTGTGCATCATCACTTAGCTGCATTTAGGCGCACTTTTGGAGTCCTAAGACTGCCCCAAGCACGACCATAGCACTTATAGGCAACTAAATAGACCAGAGCATTTTTCTGGTGCTTCAATTCCAGTCCGGGTAATCTTCAGTCCGGGTGTTATACTGGTGGGTATAAATAAATTCCGTGGTTCGGTGTCATTATTTGTGTGTGCTATGTCCCTTGTGTGCGATCCTTAGATTAAGAGTAATAAGAAAAAGCATTGTGTAAAAATTTGTAAGATGCAGACTTCCAGCTACATGACTTCTACTACTACTACTACCTCTACTTCCATGTACTGTCCTCCTGGAGCCACCAGAGTTCAGTCTTTCCCGATGGGGATTCAGGTGTTGTACCCTGGTGTTCCTTGCTACATCTTCCCGATGCAGAACTCCTCCTCTGGTTACAACAAGACATCATATACTACTACTTCTCTTACCACGATGTAAGAGATGAAAAGAGTTCGGATGTTTTTTTCAAATAGTGTAGATCATCAACAAATGATATGGTCAAAAGAACAGGAATTTGAATATTGAAATAAGCGACTTATGGATTCAGTAGATCATCTTTGAACCGCTTCACATCTTTGACCTTTAACCCACTTTGACCTTTAACCCACTTTGACCTTTAACCCACTTTGACCTTTAATCCACCCTGACCTTTAATCCACTTCGAAAAATGATAATAAGTCACTCCAAGAAATTAATCATGAGAGGTCCACCCGGGGGGGGAGGAGGTCCACCCGGGGGGATCATCTTTATAGGAATTGATTTTCGTATTGTTGTAGGTAATGAGTACTTCGTTTTATATCAATAAATAAGTTGTAAACATGTTGAACATGTTGGATTGTAATTTTGGTTGACTTTAATTTTCTTGTATATACGCCAGCAATTGAGACGAGATGTAATGCATATCGAAGAGATGTATCTGTAGCTATGGTTACAAGTAATTGAAGAGCATCAGGTTCCATGATTATTTCTTCTTCAGTGAGTCTAAGTTGTATTATGCATTTTATTTCTTCGGGTGTGTAAGGGTCGGTGGGTATAATGAGTGTGCGATCTAGGAAGTCAATAGGTATACCATGAGGACCTTGTTCGTCTTCAGTACCTCTAATTTTGGTTACACCTCGATTTGTGGCTAGTATAACTAGTGGGGCATTTTCAAGTTCTAAGGCGCGATTTAGATATGAGTAGCACTCGAGATCTAGTAAATGACTTTCATCAATGAAGAGAACACCGCTGACTATCTCGGCCTTTTGTTCTTCACGCCATTCGGCCACTTTACTATCCACTTGATGACGCACTTCTTGTTTGATCTCCCCCGTGTCACCGGCAAAGAGGGCTAGGAAGCCTTGTGTACGGCTATTGATGACGTCAATTTCGTGTAGTGTAACGGAGTGCACTACCTCCTTGGTTTTTTGTATCTCGCCTTCAGGACAATGAACGTAGGCAAGGTTATGACACACCGCATCGTACTCTGTACTTCGCATAAAAGAACGTCCGACCTTCGTAACACGACCGGTACTCTTGTTAACCGAAATCACATCTCCTGCCGTCACCTTTTGCTGCTCTAATGATGCAATCATCTTAGGACCCAAATTATAAAGGCTCTCCATGTCAGTCGTCTTCAATGTCATCGTACCGCGACGAGACTGTGTCGGACCCGAAGGCGTCTCGATACTCAACTCAACCACCTCCCCATCCAACACCTCCGTTGTCTCCCGCACACGTACACCTATCGCTTTACGCAAACCCTGGGTTAGAACCTCCGTCTTGCTGATGTCCAAAGAAAATACTTCCGATGCCGTCATGTGCACAAACGGCACTTCACCCCCAGCAATCGAACTACCACCCAACTCACGAGCCATACCCAACGCCAATGCCGTCTTCCCCGTACCCGGCCGTCCACTCAATAACACCACACGACCTGCTAGCCGGCCCTCCTCTATCATCTTCGCCACCACTGACGCCGCTCGTCGAGCCTTCCTTTGTCCCACCAAGTCGTCGATCCCACGGATGTGCGAATGCGTACCCACACGCGCCACCTTCGCCAACGTCCGAGCTTCCAACGCTATCTCACTCAGCATTTGCCGACTTATTTCCAATTTATATACCCCCAGCTCACATCCCCCC